AATCTCAGATTATACAGAAAACATGTAAAACTAAACGGGAATAGTCAATATGAGACGACTCGGATGAAGTAAATGAGGGTAGAGGTGATCGAGGAGCCTCTTCAAGTATCAGAGGCTCTGCAGTCGAGGCGGAAGGCACGGATGAAACGGAAACTGAAGTAATCCTGATGATACTGAAATAAAACCGCGGATATGCGAAAACACAGACAGCGATATAACGAGAGTAGGATGGAAAGATTAATAAAGAATAAAATGGATTACGAATGGTAGGAAGAGGCCATGGCCAACTTTAACGTACTACACCAGCATTCTGCTTAATCTATTAATATTTTGTTACGGTAATTCTGTAGAATTAAAACAGCGTGGCTGTCAAGCAAAAACCATATTTGCCTTTTAGTTTTATGACAGTAACTTAAGAACTTAAGAATAATTAAATCAGCTCACGTTAAATTGTCTACGAATATTTGGTATTAAGTATTTTTACATGCGTTTCAGAGGTCCTTACTGCCTCCAACCAGTGCGATAAGTTGCCCTGATGATGGAGGAAGCAAGGACCTATGAAACGCTGGTAAACTTCTACCAGACTACACGGCGCAACAACCCAGAAGACAGCCATCTTCAGACTCACCGCCATGAAAATCTCAAATCCTACAAGTATTTTTACATGTTAATTACATGCCGACCGTGAAAAATCATGTTATCGGCTAATTTAAAGAACTTCGAATTTTCAGTAAAGGAAATTCTACACAATCTAGACAGCAGTGAATCACTAACTCGTACAATAAAATATTAATTATTTTTCCAAGCCTCGCAATAATCATTTAAAGGGACGTCTGGGCACCAAATCTACTTGTTACGCCTACATCGTTTTTACCATTCTCCGTTCCCACAATTTTTTTCCGAGAACCAGAATTTTTTACTAACGTAATTCCATGAGTCAATATTAACACCGATCGGTAAAACATCCGTTTAGGTTCATGACCAGTGGAACTCAGGCGTTTTTAATATCTTCTGCACACAGTGAAAACACGAGAATGGAGATGGACGAAGGCAAATTCAACGAGTGGGAGGACATATTTACACGTGGATCCAAATCCTCGTATGAAAAGTATGTCTCAACTTCAAACAAAAAGAGTAAAAAATAACCATAGCTCTCATATTCAGTTCATCAATGCAAACTATACAGAGTACTTGGTATGGTAATTTATACATTGGACATGCTTTATAATTTTATTCTTGTCTCTCCAAGCGTGAAAGCATCTTAAATCCGTTTCCTGACAAGTCACATCAACATTTTAAACAACAATGAATGTCTCTAACATTTCTCTCGCCCATGCAAAGGGTTCCACCAGACAAGCTAAAAGAGATTTTAAACGCATAATCGTTTGATCACATCATCGTAAACGTGGTCATTAAACAAGTAGACGGGTCGCCATTCACAACCAAACGTTCAATGCCTTGCCTACGTCACGGTATATTTGCCGATATATATGAATTCATTACGTCTTATTAATGGATTCATTTGAACAAAGCTGGATTCAAACATCAGAGCTCACGTGCAAGAAAGTGTGACGCGGCTAGTTAGCACTGAAAGACGATATACAATTATGTCGGAAACAAACTTTGTTAAATTGGCGTCTAGGTTTGTATAAGTTTCAAACTGCATTGCTAACAGAAAGTGACGAATAAGGTAGTTATAAAGGGACAATAAAACAACGAGGCAAGTATACTAATATTATTAATTTATTTTGCTTGATCAATATTAAAAGAATTTTAATTGCAAGCTACAATGCGTTTCTGGACTAAATAAACTCCCAAATATATGATAATTATACATCGAAATGAAGTGTTTAAGAGAGGAGCTACAGAATCAGATGAGGTAAACATTTTGTGCCCTGTACATGTTTTTGAGGGGTGTAACATTCTGAAAAATCCGGACATAGACAAATATTTGAATAGGAAATCACAAAGAAAAGGTACGCTGTTTGACTAAAAACAACTTCGGTCTCTGCATCAATGAAAAGCGTTTCAAAGCTGCGATGCATTCCAGTTCATAACTAACTTACTGTTTCTTAAATTAATAATTATTCATAATAATCACTCAATTCCCGATGTTACTGTCTCTCGATACACATTACTAATAAGCGAAACATCATATCCCTCGGGGGAGGGGAGGCCGCAGTGAACTGCCAGAAGAATCATCTAAACAAATCTTTAATCTGCAGGCCTACGACACATGAGAGCTCACAGCTGGTGTGTTCAAATAGAGAATTTCGGAGAATATATTTACTTCTTTATTTGCGGAATATAGCATTTTAATTAAAAAACCGTTTCATGAAGACAGAATTCAGCCTGTACAACAAACGAATCATTTCCCCACTTTGTTTAGAGACTACGAAAACCACAACGCAATGTTCCACGCCACTTCACTTTACCTGAACGACGTACGTTTTGAATGGCTACTAGCAATCACATTGCGTTTTGCTTCGGTAGTACATGAGAACTAAAAATTAATTTTCTAAAGTCCATAAAGGCTATTCCTGGCGATAAGTTATTAGACGCATCAATTTAGAGAAATCTATTTAATTCCCTGGGCACTCTTACTTTATTAAGCTCAAAGACCATACTTTACCAACAGAAAACGTCTATAATTCATCATACGACTCCCCATTTCAATCTCATTACATTTACTGCCACATGAAAGCACACCGTCTCTCTTCGGCGGTGAAAAGGACACACGCTTTGCGTGTATCGGATGCAGAAACATCCACGGCAAACTGTTCGTTCGATAATTATCGATAATTTAACATCTGACTTTAATACAGATAACGGTGATATTAATTAAAAATTTGTACACGAAATTATTAAACATAGTTTACAACAACTCGTGACCCTTCAACAGCAGATAAAACTCGAGCACTGAAATAAATTTAATTTAATTCGCGTTCGACATCAACGTCGGTAAACTTCTACCAGACTACGCGGCACAACAGCCCAGATGACAGCCATCTTCAGACAACCTCAAATCTTACATATGATAACAGATCTTCGAAAAATATTATCATTTGCAATTGTTTATCTGTATGGTGTAAAATATGGCCACTGATGAACCAACGGAGCTGGCCACGTGAAATGTGATATGGACACTGATCATGAACATTCCACAACTTCTGTAAGAAATACTTTTATATGGCAATGAAAAACATTGCGACTGCGCGGATGTTATGTCGGTACTTAAGTAACAAGTTCTTGCCAAAGAAATAAGGAATACTGACATTAATCATAATGACTGCAATATTTTTAAACATCAATCCTGACTCGGCTACAATACGAACACATGACAGTCTGCGCAAGAGTCCAGGATAACAGCATTGCCGAGTTAAACTGGAAGAGACAGGACTTAAGAACACGAGACTTCTGAACTTACGACTGATAAGTTTGACTACCAAAGCCAAATGAAATTGGCAGGATCATTTAGAATGACAAGGAGCAAAACTCTGTGTACTCCTGCTCGGGGAGTATTCTTCCATCTTGCTGTAGGCCTAGAAACTGTCAGGTTTTGAAAGCCTTTCACAATTATATGCAGCACACGTCAGTGGAGAATATGCCAAAACTGTCTGAATTAAATTACTGATGGAAATTTCTAAAGCTGCGGCGACAATAATACGACAGGTCTGAAACGTAATGCGTGAAAACAGATTTTCTAATTTCGTAATGTAGTTCTTTTATATAGAATGTAATGTCAAAACCTCCAATAAACACAACGCCCACATGCAGAAGACGAGAATGAAAGATAGAACGTCATATTCTGCTGGTCACTAACACAGCGATTAGAGTGTAAAATACTAAATGTGCCCCGTTTTGAAACAAACTCAAGATGCAAATGCAAATGCTTCACAATTTATGACAGGATTTTGATCCTGGCATGGTAATCATTATTATGTGTCCCCTTTTTAAAGTGAATAAAGCTGACAATCGCCATACTGGCCAAAATATTCAACGCCTTTTACGAAAGACGTCCAGAAGAGACTGCAACTGGACCCTACGCTAACCTAACCAGCCTATTACTCTAAGATTAATTATAATATAATCCTATCTACGCCTAGATTTTACAAGCTTTCCGACTAAAAATGTATATGCGGTTCTTAAATATCACGTGTATGCTACATGCTCGCCAATCTAATTATCTTTGAGCAGAGTATAAATTATCGAACTCATTATGCAATTTTATCAAACTTTCTGTTCCTTCCTCCCGCTTAAGCCCAAACATTCTCCTCAACACCCTGTTCTCAGACACCCTTAATCTGTGTTGTAACCATGGAGTGAAAAACAAAAATTTACCCCCGATTGGTCTAAACAACATTTTTGAACATTATACTCTTTGTATCCTTAGGCTGCCAAACATTCTGAACTAAATGGTAGCAAGCTGATTGAATCTCTTCTTAGTAACGTGGCGTAATTCTGAGTTCTTGCTTTCGTCCAATAATCTCCTTTACTTCATAAAAGCAAAATTATCGCCACAATGAGTAAACCACAAACAGCATTCATAATCATTAACAATCAAATATTTTGCCGTGCCTCCAACATGTTATGGCCTACATGATTTAAGTTTTAACATTATTTTATAATGAGGGTGTAATACGATCCCGAAGATGGG